AATACAAATTTCATATAAAAAAAGTAGAGCAAGTAATAAAGAAACAAATTCTTCACAAAAATAACTTTTTTTTCAAGCGGCCATGATATACAACCTTATATGCATGTATAGAGATAGTTGAAGTGCGTCTTTTTCATTAGCGGCAGACAAAAAACTCAAAAAAGCCTAGGGATAGAAGTAAATCCATAGGTGTCTCAATAGACGTCAAATAATAAAATTAATTTAGAATTTCATACAAAGCAATCACGTTGTATTAATTATATTAATTATAATCGCACGGAATATTTAGTGATTATTTATTAAATTTTAATTGAAAGAAATAAAGAACAACTAGTTTATTAGTATAATATTATAATGATAGACGAGTTGCCAATGTCGGAACTCCAAACAAATGTCAGTACGTCAAAATTAATTCAAGCGCAGCATTTTGACAGAGCAGGGTTTATTTTTAGTTTAGGCTTTGTTATCTATGGTTTAGGATATTTATCGGCATTGTAAGTAAGGGTTATAAGTTTTTTTAGTTTTTATCAATAATTTCTAATGCTTTTAGCCAAAATTTTATACCACATGAGTTAAGAGTAAATAAAATAATTCCATTGCTTATCCTATTTATATTACGCCCTTGAAAAAAAAATTGTATATGTTATTTGGAGTAGAAGCTCTTTTTGTGCTTCGTACAGTTGCCTGCCTCAGCTACGCTTCGGCCGTCAATCTCTGTACTCACCACAAAAAGAGTCGCTTCTACTCCTTATGACATAATCTACTATTAAATAAAATTAAAAACAAAATCAATACATTTTATATACAAGAATATTGTATGTATTTTTGCTTGTAAATATATATGAAAAAATAAAACTCAGAAAAATAAAATTACTTCCATGTTAATTATATCAAACATCTTTGCTGTTTTTTTATCTGATTGAAAAGCAGAATACTTGAAATCAATTGATTTATAAATTTCTTAAGCTTCATAATTACCCCTAACATTGACTTGAGTGAAAATATTTATTGATTTTTTTCTTTAAATTAAAAAAATATTTGCTTTTTAATATAATACCTATATTATAGATAATTAAAAAGAATCCCATTTAATAAATACAGATTATAAAATAAAACCCAAATTGTGTTTAAAAAATATTTGTCTTATTTTTTAAATACTTTTGAAGAATTTTAAATTTTAGACCATGTTCAACTTATAGTCTGCTTTTAAATTAAATTATGTGCTTGCTCTTAGAAATAGAAACAGTAGGTTTTGGGGTAAAGGGCTCGACAGGGTAAAGGGGATTTTTTTCTGAGAGGAAATTTACACTCTATTTATTTTTGGGCCCAGAAATATACTATTAAACATAGAAGAAAATGAAATGGAGGGACAAAAGGGCAGCATGGGTATTTCAAATTGAAAATACATATTATAATATTTGTAACAATTTTGACAATATTACAATTAATGAGTGTATAGAAAAGTTTATAAACGAGGGGCATACCATACTTTTTCTACGACAAATACCTATTATTATCTTAAAATGATTTAAATCAAAAATTTGTATAGAGCGCCATCTATAAAACAATAGAGGAATCTGTGTGTCACAGTCAAATGTCAACTTTTATAAACAGATTATAAATCGAAGCTTAAAGAAAAAGGAAGTATAATACTTACCAAAAAATAAGAATGTCCCCTTATGGATTCACTGTAATTAAAATCTAAATGAACAAAAATGCCACACTTCCACAACGCGGTATCTCCGGATATGCACTGCGTAGGTAGATATGTACCAACTAAACATTTTAAAACGCATTTCGGTTATTACCAGTTTTTTCAGTCTATTTTGCTACTATTGGTGTAATTTAACTTTAATTGTGATACAAAGTGCACTAGTAGTGTAAAGAAAAAGAGCTCTTAGTAACATCAAAACAGACAAAGAAATTGGCATGCACTGTAGTGTACATTTTGTCACTATTTAACACATCAAGGGGTAATAAACACTCGCATTAAGTTTTTCTACCCTTTTGATTTATTTTAATAATAAATAGTGTGAATGTACCAATGAATTTTTTTTAACTGTGTATAGTATACCTACTATATACTCAATATTTGAGGGTAAATAACATTATTTAAAAAAATGTAAATTAAACACTGTAAAGTTAACAAGACATCAAGTAAATATTTACTTTCTTGTCACTTAAAGATGGATACAAAATATGTATGCCTTTCTAACGTACTAATTATTGGTACACAGCTTTTAAAAGCTTGCAAACTTATTGATCCCATAAAAATTCTTCAAAGCTTTTTACTTTGATAAGTTGTAATGGCAGATAAATGTTTGATTAATTGTTAAAAAATTATTTTATTTTAAAGGTTTCATAAATTATATTCTATCAAGCCGACTAGCCGTGTTTTTGTTTTGTTTTGTTTTGTTTTGGGAAACAAACAAATGTTATCACCAATAAAAAACACGCTGAGTTGTAAAAATGCTTGTAAAAGTAATCTTTGTGGTGGAAATAAAAATAATATATCGTTTCTATGGTTATAGTTCTCCAGATAAGGATAAAGGATAACGAAATAATATTAATATTACTTTGTAGATTCTATATAAGACGAAATACATTTAAATTTAAATTTTTATTTAAAAATAAGTTGAAGATAAAAGGGGCCGTCCATAAATGATGTCACACACTTAGGGGGGAGGGGGGGGTCGTCGAAAATGTGACAGTTTGTGACAGCCGGGGGGGGGGGGGTTTGGGGAGGTTGTGATGTCACAAAATTATAAAAATATTTTGGATATTAAGATTTTATTTTAAGCAAAAATTTCGTGGGGTAGACCTTAAAAAAAATTAAATCAGTGTGACGTGACGCCAATGGGGAGGGGGGGGGTCCCATAATTTGTGACACTTTGTGACAAAGGGGGGAGGGGGGGTCAAAAATCTTTTAAAAAAGTGTGACATCATTTATGGACGGCCCCAAAGGGTTGAACATGATATTATTCATGTAAATTTTACAAATCCCTTTTCGTTTAAAATAAAACTTATCTAAATTTAACAAATAATTAATTGTTAATTCAATAAACTATTTTCATTGTAACAATGGTCACATTTTCAACCTACTGTTGGGTGATGGGTAGTTTTTTTAAATAATTGCAAGGCATTAAAACAAATTATTTATAATAACAAAAAAATTAACTCATATTTTATGATGTACAAAGTAAAAAAAATATGAACTCACTTTTTAAACAACAAGTCTGCTTCGTTTATAGAATAGACCTTAAATATTTCTTTTAGAAAACGTCGAAATTTTAATTTTCTTAGTGATCTTTTTGATATTTTTATCATGCTAGATTTTATCACACTTCACTCGCACAAGTGAAATCAATAAGATTATAACACAGACTGTGGATTATAAAGTTATGTTCACCAACGAGAGCGCTGGCCCTTTCCCCCTCTTTTTAAGGGAAATAACAAATATATTGATACCATTGCAAAACAATAGTAAATATTAAAAAAATATTTTTATCTCCACGCGGTCTATAATTTAAACTTTATTGTTGTCAACATTCGATAAAGAAATACCTTGTTATGGCCTAGGCCGATAAAAATTTTTATGAGGCAAGTAATTAGTTCGATTTTTTCTCGCCAGGGGTATTGTTTTGGCAAATTAATCCTTTTCTAAGAAATTAACGTACTAAACTGGTTTAATTTATTTATAATAAGCACTAATTTGTTTGTTTTACTGTTATAACATTATAATGTTTAATATTTTTCATTAAATTATTGTAAAATTAAATTTGAATAATAAAACAAAAAGTGAGGTTAGGACATTGCAATTTGACGTTTCACAGTTGTGTTTTCTTTTTCTACGATTTAAATTATCTTTAAATTTTAATTTGCTTTAAGTTTTCAGTAAAATTAAATGTTAAACACAGCGTAAACATTCCAAACTACCTATTTTTTTAATAAAAATGCAAACAAATTGAAATTAGATACCTATTTATTAAACAATTAAGTAATTGAATTCAATGTAATAGCAAGAGGGTAAGTAAACCATTTTCTTACAAAAATCCATTTCTACTTAAATCATGTAGTTAGGTATTGTCAAACTATTACTGCTTCTAAAAGGAATAATAATTATTGTACATTTAATGTAATCTTTAGCTAATAAATAAATGAGATTTAAAAAAGTGAGGTTAGGGCGCTTTCATGTTGAATTAAATTGACCTATATAAAGTGCTTTGAAGATAAAATGTTGTATGCCATTCGGCCAAGAAGTGTCTTTTTGTGCTTCGCTCAATTGTAGGCCTCCGCTACGCGTCGGCCTTCAAACTTTGAGCTTAGCACAAAAAGCCTTACTTCTTAACCTAATGACATAAATAACTATTATAGCAATAAAATATTTTTGTTATTGTTCTTAACGTAAGCTATTAACACAGATTTTCTAACTGAAATAAAATTAATTTGAATTACAACGATAGTAATTTAAAAAAGACAAATATGCCATAGTAAAATGAACAAATTTTACTATAACAACTGCGCATTACTATATGTAAGCGCAATTCACACATAACTATAGATTTAGCAAAAACATTTTAAGTTCGACAAAGATTTAATATAAAAATAAAGTATTTCTTATTGCCATGACAATATGATAAGAACTATTACTTTATTGGATGAACAAATTTTTATAAAAGCTCAACATTGCTTCTTCATTATAGTAAATGAGAATTTTATTGACAGTAAAAAAAGTTTATTCTGTAAATAAAAATAATCTCATTACTTTGACAAATCGTAGGTTTTGTCCCAATTATACAATCGCCTATAAATACGCCTCACTTACTCCTTGTTCTTATAGTATTAACTAGTAAAGCCTTCTTATAATATGTTACGATATAATACGAAATATATTTCGTTGAACTTACCCTAAAAGTTGTAGAATTAATATATTTTTCTTTGTTTCAGATTTGTGCAATCAATGTTAATAAATTAGGACTAAGGAATGTGTTTAATTTATTGTGTTTAAAATCAGTGTTTGTGCAATAATTTATATAATTAATCATGACTAGCGAGGAAGATCCAGGATCAAGCGTTGCAGCTGAAAGGTAATAAACCAATAGTTAAACTATTTTAAAAAAAAATTTAATCAATAAAGGTTGATGTAGGGACAACTTTTACACAAATTAAATTTAGGTAAAAAGTTAATAAAAACATAATAGTGTATTATGTATCAAGTTTGATAAACGCCATTTAATTAGGCACAAGCGAGCTTGCGAGCGAGTGTTTTAATTATTGAGTGTCTATAAAAGTTTATAAGAGAACCTAAAACAAAAACAAGTTTTTATTTTTAATTTAATCACCCTCGTCATCAACAACGTTAAGATTTTCTCATCAACTGTGCAAATTTTTAATTTCGGATCGATAAAAATCAATTGGTTCTTGAGCAAAAAACGACATCACTTTCCGGCTTTTTAAATATTTGCCTACAACATCGATGGATATAATAATAATATATATATTTATAAATCTAGACCCTATTGTTATTGTTTGCTTTGTAGAATAGGTACCCCAGCAAGTTTTATACAGATATACGAGGTGTGTTCAGAAAATAACGGGAATTGTTAAATTTCGCGGGTTCGGAGGGTCCGGTTGTCATAAAATTTTCTTTATTATGTTAGTATACATGCCCCCGAAGTGTGATAAAAACTTAAGCTGTTTTCATTTTTTACTTTGTCTGTGGCAGCCGCTAAGGTTAGACGTGTTTTATGAGCTCGGCGATTTTCGTTCGTTAAAAGAAATGGATCAAAGAATTTGTATCCAATTTTGCTTAAAAAATGAAATAAATTCTGTAAAATGTTAACAAAGGCCTATATTGAGTGTGCTATAAGTAAAACAAGAGTTTACAAGTGGTATAAGAGTTTCCAAGATGGCCGTGAAGACGTTGAAGATGACGAACGCCCCGAACACAAGCACATTAACAACCGATAAAAACATGGAAAAAGTGTAAGAAATGGTTATAAACCATCAGAGAAGTCGCTGATGATGTTGGTATATCGATTGGCTCATCCCATGAAATTTTTTCGAATGTTTTGGGTATGAAACGCGTGGCAGCAAAACTTGTTCCAAAATTGTTAAATTTTGAACAAAATTTTTGGCCAAAAACAATACTGTAATGATTCCCCAGCCTCCATATTCGCCAGGCATGCCTCTGTCTGACTTTTTCCTATTCCCAAAAATAAAGAGAACCTTAAAGGGCCGTCGTTTTGCAAGCATAGATGACATTAAAAGCGCATCGCTGAAAGAACTAAAGGCTATCCCAAAGATCGAGTTTTAGAAGTGTTTCGAGTATTGGAAGAAGAGCTGGCACATGTGCATAATATCCAATGGGGACTATTTTGAAGGCGACAACATTAATGCAGACGAATAATAAATATTTGTTTTAAAAAACGAAAATTCCCGATATTTTCTGAACACACCTCGTATATGCATATTACTTTAATTATAATTAACATACCATGATTATGTTTTTCGTAAAGGAAAACGCAATATTTAAAAATGCAAAAAAGTTTCAAAACTGTTTAATTTTTTTTATATATCAATAAAAAACTGGATATCTATTTTTCAATTTTAAGTGCAAGCGATTTGTAGGTATGTACGTATTAAGCCAGCTTTTGGCATCCTTATCACGTACCTATACGTATACGGACGAGTGCATATATGGAAATATCTACGCGAGCTGGAAAAATTGCTTTTTTCTAAAGGAGTTATATTGTAAAGATTTCATAACTTTTGCTATTTTATTTTTAGTTTCCTTGATGTGGTTAAGACAAATAAATTAAGACGAGTTGTGAAAGGTAGAAAGCAAATGCATCAAAAATAACTTTTAAATTTCACCTTTCACTTTTTACGTCGATTGATGCTCATTTAGCTATTTTTTAAGTGTACCACAAAATCATAATAAATGTTCAACTATCCCGCTGTTATTATCCACGCAAAGTCGATGGCTGCGTAGAAAATTATGATATGTCGCTCTTGCCATCATACCCGGGTGATTTCGGATTTCATCTGCCTCTGCAGTGACAAATTCGCGGAGTTGTTCTAATGTGTCAACTTCGCTCTGGTACGCTAAACTGTTCATGTAGCCCCAGAGAAACCACAATGACAAACGAACTGTCAGTAATCAATGACAACAAACTACCTACTGACCGATTTTGAATAAGTTTAAAAGTTTGCTTGATATTTCATAATACACTATGCGCATACCTGTTTCTTTTTTGCTTGGATGAATAATATCATTGTTTTTAGAGGTCAAAAAAAAATTATAATTTTTTTTATTAAAAAATAGTAGCTGTTACTGATAATTTAATTAAGTTTCATTAAGTTGGGCAACTTTTGACCTCATTTTGTTTATATAGTTTTCGGAGAAAATTAAACAGTATTTTGTTATGAGAACATAGATAATATAAAAAATATACTGTTCCAGACCGGGCCAGTCACTTTTTCAAACAGTTTCTGAAATATTTGTGTTTTCTAAATTTGAATGCAAGGGAAGTGACGAGTATACCAGGGTACTAATTAAATACATAATTTATTGGAAAATATAAGATTTATTGCAACTTTGAGCATATTATACATTAAATATCGTAAAATCAAATAATACCACAAATCAGTGACGGCTGGTGGATTTTGGGTATACCGATATCTCAATTATTAGATATGGGACCCACACCAAATTTATATGAGTTTATAATGACATTAAATAAACAAGTTCTGCGCAAGCAGAATTTAAATTGAAGTTTGCGAAAAAAAGATAACCGAAACATCGACGACACGGTACTGATGAATGGGATACAAATTTGAGATTATAATTCGAAATTTAGTATTTTACTGATATTTTTTATTAGTGGATGCTACTTATCAACAAATCACATAAAGCCTTATATAAATTACAATGAAATATATATACGTAAGAAAATAACTACTCACCACAGTACTGAAATTTTGACTGGAACTATACGTGCATTCACCACAACTTCGCCGCTTGCATTGTTTTCAAGATGACTGTCGTGCAAAGGGCGGGCTCTGTAGGTAATTTTTGAACAACACTTGAGTTAAAACAAGGACTTGACGTTTTAAAATTCAATATTTCGCAGGAATTTTGAATTTTAACATTGGACACAGAACTGACGGGTAAAAGTGAGTACAAAGATTATCAATTTTTTAAAAATTGCTATTATTCGAATCCATGATAAAATATGAAAAATACATTATTTAATGTTTTATAGTTTGTAGTGAAATTGAAAAATTTAGGATAAATTGAATATATTTTAAAATAAAATCACTCAAATATTTGATTCAGGAGTTGTGACACGCCAAGGTACTGATGTTTTGAATATTTATTATGTTTTTTTACAAATGTGCTTTTGAAAAAATACATTAAAATTGGGTGGACAAGTTAAAATAACCTGTATCTTTTGTAATATACTAAAATATTTACAAAAAATATTAAAATACCTATATTTTTTTTTTGCAGCGTCAGCAAAATGGACTCTATACAGAGCGCTTCTGCAAACGACTCCCTTAGTTCGCACAGGTAGGTTAAATTGCTGTTTTATTTTTTAACACATGATTTAATTTTCTCATTTTAACACCCTTTAAAAATGTGTAAAAAAATCTTTGTTCCCAGTTTTTGTAACATCATTACTTTGGTTTAGTCAACAAAAAACGTAATCTCATTATTTTGCTTTATTATTTCGAACAGAATACAGATTTTATTTTATTCAGGGTCTAAAAACATTTTTTACGAGGCATTCTCTTTAAATTGACGCTGGATTATATTTTTTATAACCCCTTAGGGAGAAAATATAAATAAATAATTCGCATTTCCTTTTAATATTCTGCTAACACTGCTTTGGTATTGGATAATTCTCGTGTGCTTGCATGAGGATTAGCGGCCGTTGCTGCTAACACATTAATTTCATTATTTCCACCTGTGACTGTTGCTCGACGAACTCTTTTTTTCGGTTGAACACTCCCGTTTGTAGTAAACTGCTCGACTGTACGGTGAAATGAAGTACGAATTTTTTCCGGAAAACGCTGAGCGTAGATATTAACGCATCATCAGGATTCCTGCCTGCTTCTCCATAAATCAAAATCATTTCTATTTTTTATCCATTGTTAAAAAATTCATTATAAATAACTGCTTAACGAAAGGAGGTCTTTTTGTTTGCAAATTAATCTTCGAACTAAATTGATTAAATAATGCTAAACAATAAATGGTTTCTTTATACCTTAATAATAATTATTATTTATAAGTAAATACCATTTTTTATACCTCAATTAGGATTAAATTAATTAATTGGCAAAATAATATTTTCTTTACCTTAAATGAGGTATTTTTATTAAAAATAGTACAATTGTATTAATTAATAATCCTTTAAAATAAGGAAATATTTTTTTACTGGGTAAATTTTCGTAAGTAATATCATAAGGGCATCTAATTTTTCCGAAAAAAATCGAAAAAACACGTTGCTAAGTAATATTTTAACAAGAAGCATGAGTGCTGGTGGCAACAAAAATCCGAGTCGAAGAGGAGGATTTTTGCACCTGCACGAATGCATTTTGTTAAAAAATATTACTTAGCATTGTGTTTTTTCGATTTTTTTCACAGGAAAAATTAGATGCCCGAATGGTATTTGACAAGACTATTTCATGAGTAACAGTTAACAATTAAAATATAAATTGCAATTTGTGGTGACAACAGCTGTCAAGTTTTGCCGCGGGTAAACTCGAAAAAACTGCTGACAGGTGCTGTCACACAGTTTTTTCACCTAGAAACCATTTGTAATTTAAAATTTCGCGTTTGTGATTGGTGGAAATTAAGACGAGGGAAATAGTCGATTTAAAATGACTTTTAAAGGAGACTTTGTAAAAATTATAATTACTTTAAAAGGTTTATTTTACTTTAAATAAAAAATAAAATTGTAAACTCTCAACCAGTCGCTTCTAAATCAGAGTGTGCACAGTTGTCAGTAAGTTCTATTAGCTTTGCACTTAGAACGATTTACCATTCGGTAATTTCCTCCTAAAATTTGCGGTTTTCCATTTAGTTAAGCGCACAAATCGCATAGCACAACGTTGCCGTTGTTGGATTTAATGACAAAATCCTATTTCAATAATTCAACAAAACTTTTTGGAAATCCATGGGTTTACAAAAGTTCCAAATTTCAAACAAATACTTACTTTTGTTACACTGAAAGAACAGTTTAAGTATTAATTTAATACACTTTTTTGAGGTAAATAAAAATTTATTTATTATAAACAAATACTTTATCTGTGAGAAATAAAATTGTATTAAAAACAACCAAACCCTTATTTATTATAAATATGCAATTTTAATAAGTAGTTAATAATTTATTAAAAATTAACAAACACATATTTTTAAAAAACAAATTTTTATTTAAAGTGACAAACATCTTATTTATTATAAATAAATTAAATTGATTATAAATAACCCGGAAAGTAATTATTAACATTAATATATTTAATTTTAATTTTGAGTTATTTTTTATAAATTAGTTTATTTATAATTAACAAATTTTACTATTAATAATTAATAATAAGCATAAAACTGTATTTTTAAAAAATATGTTTATATTTACAATAAACATGGCATATCCTTGTCAATCTCACAAATGGACGTATTTTACAAGAGAGCATAAAACTTATTGTAGGTTAAAAATATACTATAGTATAAAATAAACTTATAAAATTATTATGGTTTATATCTGTAATTTTATATGTTAAACGAAGTATATTGTTAAACCAAATATTGCAGTAATTTTCAAAATGTCCTTCTGTAAAATTATAAAAATGGCATTGTGATATTGACGACTATATATAGTCGTCAATATCCTATATATACCTATAGGTATGCTATTTATTGTAAATATATACTTATAAAAATACAGTTCTGCCTTAATTATTTACTATTAATCATAAAATTTGTTAACCTGAATATTGAAAAAATCTTCTCCAGTAAAATTATAAAAAATCTCTAACATTATAAATCACTTTGTGATGTTGTCGACGATATATCGTTGAAATAAAATGTACTTCAGTTTGGGTGATTTAAAAAAAAATACTTGTTTTTTTAAGATGATTTTATTAAGAAAGCAAAGTATATATATATATATTTATATATTTTATAAAATCCAATATTTTAAAACTTAAATTATATACAATGTATTATACATAGACCTATATATAGGTATATATTATTTAAAAAACATAAATAAACTTAGAAAAATAAAGATATAGTATAATAATAATAATATAACCTTTAAAACTATATTCATAGCATCGTCACAGGCGATATCTGCTAATACTTTAAAAGAATCTACTCCATTATCTGAAAAAATTTGTCAATAATAAATATAATCTGATTTTCTTTAAAGTAATCTGATTAATAATTAACAAGTGAATTTATAGTAAATATACTTTATTTATTAATAATGCATCCCATGGGGTAGTCAACACGTGGAATCATCTTGAAACAAACTGCGACAAAATTCACCCAATACTAACGAAATAACAAGGTATCAATTATTATTTTTTTTAATAACTCATAAACTTACCTTTAAAAGTATTAGCCAGATCTTGTAAACCGTATAACAGTTTAGAATCTCTTATGTCCATGTCAACATCCATGTTTAAGGACCTATTTTTGTTTTGTTAGCATTCAACACCATAGAAAAATATTATTATGTACTTACACAATCACTGCAACAGTTTATACGCAATACAAATTTCCTTATTATATGAAAAATGATGCAAAAGCACAAACAGAGCACAAACCACCACCACCTTTATCAGCAAAGATGTAAACCACCCACTACGTGGCATTTTAATTTGTTAATTATTAATATATCATATTTTTTACAAACAACATAGATTTAATAGTTAGAAAATGTGCCTTATTTGTAATAATCATTATTTAAGAAATGAAAATTTTGCAACTATTAATAAGCAATATTTATTATTAATAAACTGTGAACTAAATACGAATATAATGTATATTTACATCAAATTAATAAATGATTTTATTTGACAAAAATTTAGTATATTAATAACAAATAAATTCCACCCAAATAAATAATTTTTTTATGAAAAATAAATTAAATTAACCCTAGTATTTCTTTCAGTGTACAAAATTACATGTTACGTCTACAAAACTTTTGGTAAAACATTTTCCTTTGTTAGAATAATTAAACCCTGGTTGTCTATAGAAATTTTACAAAATAAAATTGACAGTAAAATAAATAAGCTTCGAATTTCTCGGCATTAAATATATCTGCAGGACCCAAGACAAAATTTAAATTAACGTTATATTACTTTTTTGGTTCTTATTTTTTCTTATCTTATTCTTATAATATTTTTTTTTATCAAATTGTATACTGCCTATAGGCAATAAATTATCCTCTTTTACATTTCTAAACCTTTTAATTAAAAACCTTTAAACGTTTCTTACTAGGGTAGGTATTGATTTATAAATTTGGGGTACTTGCTTTGATCTTCGTCACGAAATTGTTCTACTGCCTTTAAGTGCAGTCCCTTAATTGACACTTCAATACGTTTTAGTCTTAATTTCATTACCTTAATATTTAAGCCCTGTGAAATCAAAAGCGGACATGTCCACTGCCGTGCACGTGCTAAGAAAAAATGTGGAAAATACACAGTAAAAAAAATCAACTCTAAGCAACACTAATTAGAGTTACACAGGTCGACACTAAATAGTGTTGTTTTATAACACTACAATTAGAGTTAATTTGTAGTGTAATTTTCCCCAAGTAAGCAAGTATGATTTAACACTATAGCACTGAGGATAAAGTAATTTTACACTGTATTAAAAAGTGTTAATTTACCTAAAATCGTGTACTTCTACACTTCCTGGGTAAAATCCCACTTTTGTTCAGTGTAAATTAACACTACTTTGGAAAAGTTCTAATTTTAGAAAGGTACTTTTACACTTTTAGTGCAAACTTCTAGTGTAAATTAACACTATTATTTGAGTAAAACCTTGGTGGTAGTGAATAAAACGAAAAGGTAAATAAAGAGAAACATTTATTTGGAACAAAAATCTATGACAATTATCAAAATCGGTGCCTTTTAAAATATAATTTTATATTTGAGTCCGTATGGCTGGCTTAAGCAAAATGGTTCCTTAAAACGTCAAAGTTTTAGATCAATGCAATGTTTTACTGGCTGTCAACTTGTAATGAATTATCTTGAGAATTCATCAGTTATCCAATTTTCTGTTATAAAAAATGGGTGATCCCATTGGTAGAGAGGCGTCAGGCGGCTGTATGTCGGGGATTTACACTACGTGTACAAATTTTCCAAACATTTTAAAACGCATTTCGGTTATTACCAGTTTTTTCAGTTTATTTTGCCACTATTGGTGTAATTTAACTTTAATTGTGATACAATGTGCACTAGTAGTGTAAAGAAAAAACATCAGTAACATCAAAACAGACAAAGAAATTGGCATGCACTGTAGTGTACATTTTGTCACTATGTAACACAATAAGGGGT